GGAGGCGGCGGGTCAGACCGTCGTTTCGGAGCAAGTCTTCTACTCCATATGGAGGAAGTACTTGTGGCGTGCCGACCTCGCCAAGTCCAACTCTTTCACAAAGTGTGGCGAGTGCGTCCGCCTTAGACAGGCCAGAGACAACGCCTTCCTCCTTCGTGACCGTAGGGATTTCGATGAAAAGCACTGCAAACACCAACCAGATCAGGTCGCTCACCGTGCGGATTACGCTGACTGGAAACTTTGTTCCATTTTGAACCCCGCGGAATACCTCTGCCTTATTGTGGATGAAATGGATCAGAAAAAGACAACCATTCCTCACATCGGCATGTATAATTACTCCAAGGATCATTGACACGACATGATGATGAAAACGAACCTGACCGCGGTCGTAGCTCACGGCAGGAAACCGTCCATTTATGTGTACATGTATTTGCCTTTCTATGGCACGGTTCTGATGGCACCATGACGTGCGTTATGCGGACTCTGTGTGAGTTGCAGGCGTCGGGACTGAAATGGCCACACCACCTCCGCATCCAGGCGGACAATTGCTGGAGGGAAAACAAAAGCCAATACCTTATGTGATTGGCCTCTCTTCTAGTGAAATTCGGGATTTTCGAAGATGTCGAAGTGGGGTTCATGCTCGTTGGCCACACGCATACCGACATAGACGCGACTTTTAGTGTTTTCTCGAAAAAACTGAAGGACAACGATGCTTACACCATGAAGCAGTTGTTCTTGCTTATCGAGTCGTCGCACAAGATACCGCCGAAGTGCATTGAGCTCGATCACATTGCCGATTGGCGCCGGGTAGTGGATCGATACGTCGATAGAACCATCGTCGGCGTATCGAAACCGCACCTCTTCAAATTCTTCATGCGTGACGGTAGTCCCGTCATGGTGTACAAGAAGTACTGTACCGATGCGAAATGGATGCCAGAAGGCAGACCAGTTCACTAGTTTCCGGTTGTCGATGGCCAGTATGCAGGCCCTGCCTTGCCTCCACAGCCATGTGTTATTCCCCGTGTCATTAAAGACGATTTTCGGATGGCTGGTGACAATGTCCAAAAATTTGTAGACGTCCTCGAACAGCATAGGAACATGTGGCAGATATATAGGAAGGAGGAGGTCGACAAGCGGGAGGATGATTTGTCTTACTGGAAAACCATCGTCGTCGAGGCGGACGACATGATCCAAAAGCAAAAGAAGAAGGAGACGGAAGAGGGTGAGGAAGAGGATGTCCTCGGGGCGAATGAGCCAGAGATCTACCCTCACACCTTCTGGCAACAATCAGTCGAAACTGTGGAGGAAGTTCAAGAAGCCGACACTCCTTCGCCAGATGCTTTGCTTATATATGTAGGACCGAGGGCGGGCCGTCCAAAAGTGAACTTCGACCCTCGGCGCCATATAAACCAAGGTGATTTTCTGATTGTTAGGCCGCCTGATGAGGAACTGTCTCAAGGTGTCTCGTTCTGGGTTGGCAGAGCACAGTCTGAGGTTGTGGACGACCGTTCCTCACCGCATTTCGGTTGTTTACGTATACAGTGGTGGGTGCCTACACGTCACTCGTCCGATCTTCGCTAAAGGTACTCCGGCGCTTGGACGAAGAGGTGAAAACTTTCCACTTCGGACGAGGAACAATGGCAACGCGCCGAAACCGTGGCTTATTCTTGGAGAAGACCTTTTCGCAAAGGGACGGATAAGAGCAAATTCGTGACTGGTCTTGCAATACCGACATCCGTTTGTGAGAAAGCGTTTGTGGCCTTGGGGGACGGCTGTCTTTCCGGTCCGTCCGACGTGCCCGTTTAGATAAATGCAAACTGATTCGGATTTTGTAGCTACGAACTCCGCTAAGATAATGACGAGAAGTGAACTGCGAACTAATTCCGGTTTCTTGTCCTGCAGGATGCATGACGATGCGAGAAAGCGCTTGTGGCCTTGGGGGACAATTGTTTTTCCGGTCCGTCCGACGTGTCCGTTTAGATAAATGTGAACTGATTCGGATTTGGTAGCTACAAACTCCGCTAAGATAATGACGAGACATGAACTGCGAACTAATTCCGGTTTCTTGTCCTGCAGGATGCATGACGATGACACACCATCGTTCGACGTTGTATATGAGGCAACGTCCTACAAAACCTCGTCGTACGCGAGCGAGTATTCCTTTTCGATCGAGAATGTGGACACGGATCTTATCATCATGAACAAATGCATTTGGCTACAACAAACGCTCAGTCTTGACAGCGCTTATCTGCATACCGAAGCTGGGGTCGGCCTCGACGGTTACATTGCACCCGAAACACGTGTTGTTGATGGACAAACTACAATAGTTTGTGATAGAGGATCAAATATGTGGTATCTCTACTGGAGTTTAGAAGAAGTCCAACTTTTGGAAGTTCCATCCGGTCAGGAGCAGAAGATGGACGTCGAGGATATGGTAGATGACTAGGAGTCGCTATGCTTCGAACAAGAGTGGGGTTGTATGGACGAGCAGCATGCTAAACTTTGCGCATGGTACTGCATCGGAAAGCCGCAGTTGCGTTTTCCTGTGATCATAGACTACCATGGCCGAGTTCGTCTGTTCAACCGTGGCACCCCTGTGCTCACTCTTTTCACTGCGGCCAAGCTTTGTGGTAAGCAAATGAGAGTTTTCTTCCTTGTGAGGGAAAACTTTCGCGCGCCCGCGTCCGTTGGTGCTCTCGAGCGCTTCCGTGAACGATTCGAAATAGATCCTTCGCTCGCAAAAGCGTTGAATCAAAGGGTTGAATGTTTGGTGCATGCCCAACTTCACTTCCTTTTCGGATTGTGTGACGACATATTATTCATGTCGGAACACAAGGACAACTGCAATGACTACACTCTACGAAAAGTTTCGCATCACCGTCCGGGTGTCCAAACATTGAAATTCATAGGGGGTAGGCGGAGACAGATCTACGACTCTCCTTACTGTGAGGATGGACACCAGTCGCCATGACCTGCTATGTGAGACAACTCTGAGTTAGTTCGCACTTTGCTGCTGTACTCATAGGATGACCTCGCCGTTCATCGATGCGATCATTGCAGGACTTGCGATGATTAAGAGAGTAGTTTGACCGTTCCACCCAATGAGAGAGTAGTATGACCGTTCCACATGAACGACGTGCTGGAGATGTTGAGCGGCGGTTGTAGGAGTTGTGCCCAGTTGCGAAGTGCGAATCTACTGTCATTTATTTGCCAATCGTCGGTGGCGGTTGCAGGACTTGCACTGATTTGCGAAGTGCGAATCTACTCTCACTTATCGATCCACATAAATGACGTGTAGAAAAGAAGTCGGCATTAGACGGCGATTAGAAAACTTGCGCTCTCTTGCGATGTGCGAACCAATTACCAATTATCGAAGCCTTTCGTGCATATAACATTCCTGGAATTTTTGCTTATGCACTTGCGAGAATCGCAACTGACGCGCTTCCTTGCGTTTCTCCGCTGATGCAGAATGGATATCGGAGCTTCGTCACAGAGTAGGAAGTCCTCAGCGCCGGATGTCGATCTAATCATTTTGTCGAAGAACATTTGGGAAGACATTGGACAACTTCGTGGCAAAGTGCGGAAGAAGGACAACTTCGGATTTGTCGTGATGTAGGGTTGAACTTTTGGTACCTGTACTTTCTGATGAAGGATGTACATGCATACCCTATCAGGTTGGAGTCACTTCTGAAGAGGGAACCCCTTGAAGAGGGACCCGTCAAAACTTCTAAGATGGTTGCAGCATGACACATTTTATGTGAGAAACTAAAGTGGGCGTCGTTTGACAAGTTGGATCAAAAACTGTGTGCCTGGTTTTGCCTCGGCCAACCGACGAAGTCGGTGCCGGTGATCATTGACTACTTCGGTCGAGCGAGGGTATGTAATCGAGGCACCACCGTCGTGACGCTCTTCACTGCCGTCAAGGTGGATGGTCGACGAATGAAAGCTCTTTTTCTCGCAAGGGAAGAATTTCACGGTGTCAAACTCACTTCTTTTCAAAACATGTTATTCGTTAAAATATGACATTATACTGTGTCCTCTTTCTAACGAATTCATTTTTGGCTGCATTCCAAGCAACGTAGGCACGCCCATCCACGGCTTAAGCACATGCAGAAGTGTGCTGAGATCCGTACTTGTGAAACTTTATAAATGATATCCCAAATGAGAAAGCGCGTTCAAACCCGTACATGTTAGGCACGCCGTACGGGAACCTTGTGTGGAAGTGTGTCGGGATCCTTGCTTGCTGAATTTCAAAAACATGGCAGTGTTGGGAATCTTGTGCGGAAGTGTGCTGGGATCCGTACTTGTTAAAATTCATAAACGAATAACGACAGGCACGCCCATCAGGGAACCCTGTGCGGAAGTGTG